CTAGGAATAATAGAAAAATATTCTTGGAGGTATCGACGGTATGAGGTATCTAAGGGATCCCCTATGGAGGTAATATATCGTTTGGAAAAGGATTTGAAATGGAAATGATTATTATAATATGTTTTAATTGAATTTAACGAATGTATTGTTAATTTGGATTTTTGTTTATTTTTGTGTTCGCTTGGGGAATTTTATATAAAGATTTGTTAGGTTTTATGTTTTTGGTATGTTTTATGTTATTTTGGTATATGTAGCATTCGATTAGGTGATCGTAATAAAATCATTGATTATATTTTTGGGTATTTAATATTGTATTTGTAAGAAAAATATGTCGGGAATTCGTAAATCGTGGTAGAATTTAATTTGAAGATATTCTTTCGTTTTTCGAAACGCTACAGAGAAAATTCAAATGGTAATTATTTAAGGACGTAATTCGGGTCATCATTGATTATGATTATTTCTAGGATGCATTGAAGAATATATCGCACGATGTTTTGGCGTAGAGTTATAGTATTTTGACGCGGCATTGGTGGTGTCTAGCCCAGGAAAAGGATAAGCACTTGCATTTTAAAAGGTCTGCTTTGTAATGCCTATCCTATACAGATCCCCTGTGGTCTCAATCCTATGGTTGGAATTTGAAAGGAATCTTTTGGTTGTATTATTGTATAGGCAGCATTGTGTCGTCAAACGCGAGGTAATAATGATATTTCACGTGCGGTGGAACGAACCATGTAGCGATATGGAAAAGTGGCGGGGAATAGGTCGGACGATGTCTTTGCTTTGAGAATTTAGCTGGAAGTAACCCAGAGCCCGGAAAAAATTGTCCTTTTTCTTTTCGAATAAAGAAAGATGCGAAAAAAAAATTCTCCGAGGCTTTAAGACATTGCACATGATGCGCGCTCGATTTTTGAAGAGCCGCAAGTGGAATTCTAGCCGGCTGCGCTTGATCCAAGTGTTGCCAAAAGGATTTTAAAATCCTTGAGGCCTGGGTCTGTTCGGCAGTGGGCGGACGCTCGCAAGGCTACAAACAACAGAGAGGAGTGTTGCGCCGTAGGATGGGTTGAAATCGTTTGGGACGAGAAATCTTATAGGAAGGGCTTCGTCGTCGTTAAATTGATGGAGGACAATGGGAGCCAAATAGCAACAAGAGGGATACGGGCAAAACAACACATGTTCGGCTGTTGGGTTGTTCAGGCGCTATTTGTGTGATCCCCGAAATATTTTTGCATGCATTTTGAAATTACCATTATCCTGGTGAGAACCCAGGGGACACCCTGTTTCAATGACATTTCTATCAAAGGAAATTTAGTGTGCAAAATTTCCGTGTTACGGGCATTCAACAGCTGTTCAACCACCATTCATCATACACCACTCATCAAACACCACTCATCATACACCACTCATCATACACCACTCATCATACACCACTTTCATACACCACTCATCATACACCACTCATCATACACCACTCATCATACACCACTCATCATACACCACTCATCATACACCACTCATCATACACCACTCATCATACACCAATCATCATACACCACTCATCATACACCACTGATCATACACCACTGATCATACACCACTCATCATACATCACTCATCATACACCAATCATCATACACCACTCATCATACACCACTCATCAGACACCAATCACCATACACCACTCATCATACACCACACCACTCATCATACACCACTCATCATACACCACTCATCATACACTACTTATCATCCAGTTTGCTCTACCTCCAGTTGGCTCTAGTGTCCAATAAGCTCTTAGTTTCAATAGTTCTAGCTCCAGGCAACTCCAGTTCCACGTTTAGATTTCGTGGCAGGTGCAGCACTTTGTGAACTTCCATGTGCAGATGTCGTGGCAGGTGCAGCACTTTGCGAACCTCCATGTGCAGATTTCGTGGCAGGTGCAACACTTTGTGAACCTCCATGTGCAGATTTCGTGGCGGGCACAGCACTTTGTGCACCTCCATGTGCAGATTTCGTGGCAGGCGCAACACAAAATGCGTTGTGGAGAGATAGCGAACGCACGAAATGCTGTATTTTTTCAATGGAACGGTGGCTCCGAAGCTGGCAAGTCAAGGTCTGCGGAACGACGGTTGCGACACGGTCTCGGGTCATGGTCGGAATCATCCATGTGCAGATTTCGTGGCAGGCACAACACTTTGTGCACCTCCATGTGCAGATTTCGTGGCAGGCACAACACAAAATGCGTTGTGGAGAGATAGCGAACGCACCAAATGCTGTATTTTTCGATGGAAACGGTGGCTCCGAAGCTGGCAAGTCAAGGTCTGCGGAACGACGGTTGCGAGACGGTCTCGGGTCATGGTCGGAATCGTCCGTCCATTGGGATTAGAGTTCTTGAAGTGCAGATTTCGTGGTAGGCACAGCACTTTGTGAACCTGCATGTGCAGATTTCGTGGCAGGCACAACACTTTGTGAACCTCCATATGCAGATTTCGTGGCAGGTGCAGCACTTTGTGAACCTCCATGTGCAGATTTCGTGACAAGTACAGCACTTTGCGAACCTCCATGTGCAGATTTCGTGGCAGGTGCAGCACTTTGTGAACCTCCATGTGCAGATTTCGTGGCAGGTGCAGCACTTTGTGAACCTCCATGTGCAGATTTCGTGGCAGGCACAGCACTTTGTGAACCTCCATGTACAGATGTCGTGGCAAGCGCAGCACTTTGTGAACCTCCATGTGCAGATTTCGTGGCAGGTGCAGCACTTTGTGAACCTCCATGTGCAGATTTCGTGGCAGGCACAGCACTTTGTGAACCTCCATGTGCAGATTTCGTGGCAGGCACAGCATCTGGGGAGCTCAAACCTGAGAACTGGCGACTTTGTAGTACAACTTTAGTAACTTCAGTACGCGGAGCAATCTGTGCAGCTAGAAGCTGAGAACTGGCGACTTCGTAGTACAACTTTAGTACACGGAGTATCTGGCGAGCTGGACGATGAGAACTGGCGACTTTGTAGTACAACTTTAGTACGCGGAGTATCTGTGGAGCTGGAAGCTGAGAACTGGCGACTTTCTAGTACAACTTTAGTACGCGGAGCAATCTGTAGAGCTGGAAGGTGAAAACTAGCGACTTTCTAGTACAACTTTAGTACGCGGAGCAATCTGTAGAGCTGGAAGCTGAGAACTGGCGACATTGTAATGCAACTTTAGTACGCGGAGTATCTGGCAAGTTGGACGATGAGAACTAGCGACTTTGTGGTGCAACTTCAGGGACTTCAGTATGCAATCTGTGCAGCTAGAAGCTGAGAACTGGCGACTTCGTAGTACAACTTTAGTACACGGAGTATCTGGCGAGCTGGACGAGGAGAACTGGCGACTTTGTAGTACAACTTTACTACGCGGAGTATCTGTGGAGCTAGGTGATGAGAACTGGCGATTTTCTAGTACAACTTTAGTACGCGGAGCAATCTGTAGAGCTGGAAGGTGAAAACTGGCGACTTTCTAGTACAACTCTAGTACGCGGAGCAATCCGTAGAGCTGGAAGCTGAGAACTGGCGACTTTCTAGTACAACTTTAGTACGCGGAGCAATCTGTAGAGCTGGAAGCTGAGAACTGGCGACATTGTAGTGCAACTTTAGTACGCGGAGTATCTGGCAAATTGGACGATGAGAACTGGCGACTTTGTGGTGCAACTTCAGTGACTTCAGTACGCAATCTGTGCAGCTAGAAGCTGAGAACTGGCGACTTCGTAGTACAACTTTAGCACACGGAATATCTGGCGAGCTGGACGAGGAGAATTGGCGACTTTGTAGTATAACTTTACTACGCGGAATATTTATGGAGCTGGATAATGAGAACTGGCGACTTTCTAGTACAACTTTAGTACACGGAGCAATCTGTGAAGCTGGAAGCTAAGAATTGGCGATTTTGTAGTACAATTTTAATACGCGGAGTATCTGTAGAGCTGGATGGTAAGAACTGGCGACTTTCTAGTACAACTTTAGTACACGGAGCAATCTGTAAAGCTGGAAGCTAAGAATTAGCGACTTTGTAGTACAATTTTAGTACGCGGAGTATCTGTGGAGCTAGATGATGAGAACTGGCGACTTTCTAGTGCGTGGGTTTGATTGGAAGACATATGTTAGAGAGAACGTGGACATTCCTATAGGTCAATTTCTTCTTATAGGAAATTTCCACCGCCGGCTTGCCCGGGAACTACTTATATATAATAAATTACGGTAATAAATACAATCCGTCGACAACGCACCATTAAACGTCCCATCGTTTGCGAGCAACGATTCTTAAGAAATTTATCCAATAACAAAGATCCTAAACCCAGAAATTTCCAGGATGATTTCGATCCCAAGCTCCTGAATCCGACCAAGTGTAGCGCCTCATAAAACCAGCGCAGAAGCAGAAATCTATTAATAATAGGGCGTAATCGATTTATTGTTTTTTCCAAGCGTCCTTTATATAAATGTATATTATAAGAAAATCTTTCTTTGCAAAAACGAAAAAATAATAATCGATATAATATTAAATATTCATTTAAATATATATATATATTTTTTTAAAAAATATATTAATAAATATTAAATATATTTAACATTATATATATAAACAATATTTAAATTTATTAAACATTAAAATAAAAAAATCTATGTATAAATAAATAATAAAAATTATAAATTAATTAAAATATATTCAATTTAATAAAATATAAATAACGACCAAATATATTTCATTTAATTAATATTACAAAATTATTTTAATACAAATATATAAATATAATCCTCAAATATATATTATATAATATAAAATAATATAATATAATATTCGATAATCAATATATTATATTATATATTCATCAAATAATATAAATATATATTTTAAATATTATAATATATTATTGAAAATTATTAATATTAATATATTTACATCTTATATATAATATGATTGATAATAAATCTAAATCATTATTATTATATTTATTTTTGTCCATTAATCTTTTTAATGGATATCAATCAGGAACCTCAATATATTGGATTCATGACACGTATTCCAATAGTTTTGGTTCTGAGTATCAAGCCGGTTGAGAGGCTCATGTCGACGCATCTTTGACGCTGGTGCCTGGCTGCCCAAACTTTGCCCATCCAAATTGACACGTAGGACAGCAGCAGGATTTCTTGGTAGCAAAAAGGCAGGATTCCAACACACCTCCCAAAGTGCACCTTCGTCGATTTTCATGTGTTCAAGGTGCCACCCTCATTATTTGCATCTGAAACTAGCCAGCTCGCCTGCAGCCACAGCATAAGCTCCACCGGTGGAGCGCAGCTCACTTTCTGAGCGGGGCAAACATGTCACAAAAGGGGGGCCGTGGATCTACTTATATCATATATATATATATATCTAGTTTTATATATTATATATATATATATGATTTTATAATCATTTCCGCCCATGAGTCTCCATGGTCTCCCAGAAAACATGATGATGGACCTTTCACCCGGAGGAACCAGGTTTTTCCGGGATCTTAGCTATCGAGCCACTCCAGTGTCTTTGACCTTGGTTCGGCGCTTTTGGGCGTACTCCTTTGCTTTGGTTTGTTCTACTTGGACCGATGACTTTGTGTCAACTAGGCCAGCCAGCTCCACGGAAAAAGAAACGCTCAGAACGTTTCTGAAGTGATAGCGGAACCAAGCACGAGGAAGCTCAGTTGTAGAGCCATTCCGGTCCAAAAGCAGTGTGTTTCGCTTTCTTCCACCAAGTGACTCTTTCAACACAGTCGCATATCCCCTGCCAACATCTCCCCACCGAAACTCAACTGGCCCAGTATGACCCAGTGATGACTCCGCATGCCTGATTGGAGGGACCGTCTGCTCCGGAGGTTCAGACCCAGTGCGGCCGAAGGTCGGAAAGTTCGTCGTTGATGTTTGAGGAATACAGCATCTCCTCGGCACATCTGGCACAAGCCTGTCTGTAATGCAAGAAAAGGGGGAACGCAACACACTTCCCACAAGTAGAAAGCCTTGAAGGCAATCACAAAACATCCTCGTTTTCCGCCGTGGTCTTTGATCCGATTCTAAATCCGAAGGAAACGCTCTTCATGCCAGGGCACCCTTTCACGCTCCAAGTCCACCCCTTCGTGGTTGAGCTCCGCCATGTCGTTGAGCGCAGGCAACTGGGCAACGGGCAACACTCTTCGTGAACATGGAGACTCTCCCAAAACCTGTGCCATAACAAGACTTGTTGAGGATGTTATCGGCTATCTTTTAGATCATTTTAGTATCCTTTACAGTAGTATTTTTTCTAGCCCTTGTTCTTTTCCTCGCCCAAGTCTTTTTGGCAACGAGCTTGGAGTTGAAGGTGTGTGGACAAATGTTTCGCTTCTTTTGAGTCTTACAGTCAAGCCCGTTCAACTCACTTTCGAACCAACTGGACATTGGCTGGAAGCATTCAAACCGTAATCCACGAATCCCAATTGGCTGGCACCAAAACTCCACGGAACAGCTGACCTACACTACCGGTGGAAGGAAAGAATCTTGCGCCACCGGTATCATGTCTTCCTTCAAAAGTATCATCTCTGAAAAAGAAACAAAACAACTAACAAGTCAATCAAGTGGCATCTTCCAGTGTGGCGTCAGGTGGTACCTGGCGAGCAGCCGTCGACATTCACCAAGGACAAACTTACAGTCCAGTACTACCCCATCGGAGTCCTGCTATGTTCATGCCAAACTCATCCAAGTCTGGTTGGCATCCACTCAGTTGAAGCAACTGAACTGTCAAATTCCACAATCAAAAGCCCCATCAGTTTGGCTTTTGGGAGGCAGATAATGATCAATCCTTGGGGGACCCCAACAAACTTTGCCAAGCAAGTCTTTTGTCATCTAATCCGAACAGAAAGAGGAGCTTCCAATCAGATCATCCGGTTTGAGGCATTGAGAGTATACCTTGTTACTAGTAGCTTCTAGCTACTACAGTAGTAGCGATGCCCATGCTACTAGTAGCGATGCACTTGTTTCAACTAGCTTCTTGTTACTACTAGTAAGGCACTTGTTACTACTAGCGAGGCACTTGTTACTACTAGCTTCTTGTTACTAGCTCCATATAATGCATGTCAAGCTCCATTGGCCCGGACTGACTGGGTTCTCTGCCTCGATCCCCAGCTCTTCACTCAACTCCTGGGATTCGGAAGGTTTTGATTCTTGGATGTCCCGGTCTGACTGGTCTGGAGGAAACAAATAAGTTGAACAAAATCACTGCTATAATCAAGATACTTTATGTTCCAAACTTGCTGGGCCAAACCACCCCTTCTCCGAATGACCCCACATATAGAGGAACGCCCCCATCTCCTCGGCCTCGACTGGCCCGAGAGCTTCACCGGGTTCGGCGGGTGCCACATCTTCGATGACCTGGCAGACGGCTGGGACGGCTGCCTGGTGCCGATCCAATCGGAATGAAGCAAACATGGAACACAAAAAAGGATCGGGCTAACCAAAGTAACTCATTCCAAAGTTGACCAGTTCTGGTGTGAATGGACAACTTTGCCAAAGTGCTTCGTTTCAGCATCAACAACCTGGATGTTTCATCTATCCAGTCCTCGGAGTTCGGTCAAACCTAGCTGACCATTTCCTGCAAAGCTCAAACATCCCTGATTCCATACTGTTTGTGGAACACACCCTCCAAGCAAAACTCCGCAAATATCACCGTTGTCTCTATCTCAAGCTCCAACAGCTTCAACAGCATCACCCCAAGCTCTTCACCTGTTCTACCTGGCACTCCAACGCGAAAACCGCGGCACCGGCGCCTCCGTGGGCCCGGCTTCCTCCATCTCCGGTACTGGCATCGCATCCTGGTGGCCGCGGCTCTCTGAAGCGTCCACAGATCAAGCTGCAAAACGGCACAGCCACGTGTCGTGTTCCTTCTTCTGATTTAGTTACAAGTTACTATATAATATACATTCAGTATAATACTAATATGTCAATGTGCTACAACTCAAGGCAAAAAGGTAGTCACCCATATCTCCAGTGCAGAAACTGCAATAAAAAGAAGAAAAACACGCATATGTGATCACGTCCATCTTTTGTTTAGCTCCTTGTTCAATGTTTCGTTCTCATCTTGCTTGGTTCCACGCGGAGTTTCAAGAGAACACCGCCCCCACTCATCCGCTCCGGGTTGGCGCCGCGGATGAGGTCGGCAGCTTCGCGCGCGGCCTGGCGTGGTGCGGGCGCGGTCTAGGAAGGGCTGGGCTCAAACTTGGTCGTGCTCTAGTGCTGTCGGACGTGGGCCCTTTTCGAGTCTTTCAGGAGAGTTCTAGAAAGTCTGGAAGATGTACACAGCCATCTGGACCCTCTCCAAAACGGGCCCCTCTCTATGGAAGGTTCAATTGCGCTCTACAAAGCCTCCGGAGAAGAAGATCAACGAATTTCTCTAAGAGATCCTTGTACGTATAGTTTCAACCCAGAATCCTAACTCTGGTTGTCCAGTATGGGTTGGCTTCTCTGGAACAGCCAAAGGCTTGAGTTCGTCATCCAAGTTCTCAGGGTCTTGTGTTGCATCCTTGCAAATGCTTCCGCACAAATAGGCTGTTTATTGAATGCTTGATTACACCCAAAATCATCCAAACAAACACACACACACACATCCACAAAGGACACAAACACTTGTTCCCAAACTATGATGTCTTTCATTTCAGCCGCAGGACCACTTCAACAAAAGTCACACAAACATATCACGATATCATGCCCCTAGCTTCTCACATGCCGACGCCCCTTCCAAGGCGTCCGAACCGCTTCGGGTCGCCTGAGCGGCTTCGTTCATTGACTCACGGGCCGCCTCAGACGCATCGACTCATGCGGCACGCGACTCACGTGTTTCAAAGACTACGGGGCCACATGGGGCTACGCAGGGCTACACACATCGGTACTCTAGAAGCGTCAGACTGTCGGACTGTGTTCTTTCAGTTCCTTGAAATGTCGATGAACTGAAGATTGAAGGACTCCGATTGAGAGCACCTGGTCACGGCACCGGCACCGGGAGAAAACACCGCTGGACCGCACCGGGAGGTCAGGGCCAAACAGGTTGAACCCATATCCTGGTTCTAATTAGCATCTGAAATACTCCACCCATAGTCACATGCCTACGCTGCCTAGCTATGTCAACCATTGTCACCCCAACTCTTGGCAAAACTGTTGCTTAAAGGGCTCTAAAGGAGACCGGACGTTTAAACACGCAGGCCATCGATGACAAGGGACATTCAAGCTCCTCCATCCCCGACTCATCTGGCAGACCCGACTCATGGCGTTTGACCCGTGCCTCGTGCGCGGCGGCTTTCTTCATGAGGTAGTTCCGCAAGGTGTTGTCCAAGCTCACCTGATGGACGCGAAAGGCACAATAAGTCAGGGTGAACTGGGTGGAAAATTCAGCAGGTCCAATTTCTGGGTGGAAAATACATCCGTGCCATACCCCTCAGTATACAGAGCAAAACACTCAAGATGTCAAGCACAAGCTTCCTGCCAAAAAAAATCGAACTGCAATGTTTGCTTGCCACCTCTGGGCACAAGGTTGGAGGCCATCGCTATTAGGTTGGAGGCCATCGCTATTAGGTTGGAGGCCATCGGCCACCGCTTCTAGATTGGAGGCCATCGCTAATTAGGTTGGAGGCCATCGGCCATCGCTTCTAGGTTGGAGGCCATCGCTATTAGGTTGGAGGCCATCGACCATCGCTTCTAGGTTGGAGGCCATCGCTTTTTGGTTGGAGGCCATCGCTATTAGGTTGGAGAATTGGTAATATACTCGAATGGGGTCCCACCCAGGTGACCAGGCAACCGTCGCAGGTTCGGAGGACCTCCTCCGAAGGTACGGGAGGATAGTTGGCTTTGGCGGAAAGACCCAAGTCGAATGATAGCACCTTCCAAGTCAGTATCCCAGCTTTGGATTCCCATCTACATGCTGTCCAAATCCAGCCTGCATCTCCTGAGCGGCGAGCGATTGTGAACCGGTGGCAGGAGTGAACATGCAGCTGTGTCATAGAATAGGTGGCTGGACATTCCCTATGGATGTGTCTGAGAATAGGGAGATCCCCAGTTGGACACCCCACCAAAATAGACCAGTCAACCTGTTGATGAGGAGTCCCCCGTATTCCAATACACACCGGGGTCAATCAACACCAGGTCATAAGTGAATCTCGCAACTTACCTGTATCATTGATTTGGCAAGGACTTCCTTTTGTGACTCTGCCGGGAATATTGAGGTACAAAGTGCAAAGGCTGAACTTGTTGGGTATGGGAAGGCCAGAAATCTTCGGAATCCTTTTTCTCTCTCAGGCTCTCAGGAAGCTTCGTTGTTCCCCAATTTAAAAGTAAACACAACAAATATACAGTCTCTTTTCAAACCCTGAATTCCTGAACTGGGAGGAGCTTGATTCACAGGAGGATTTGTCAACTCATTTTCACTATTTTGGGCAGCATTGTGCTACTGCAGGCTTGGTGAGTGAACCCCATGCTCAGCATCCTGACTTGTCTGAAAAGAGCTTTTTGACACATGGTTCATATTCGCACTGATTTATGGGCAGGAACACCAACACCACATGTCAAAAAATGAATGGATGTCGTGACGTGTTCAATTACCATTACCTGGATCCCAAAACCTGTTCAAGTTTTAAATATGGGCGAAACAAACAAAACTCTGGAACCTCCAAATGGTTGCATCAAGGCAAGCAGAAAGTTATCGTTTAGCAATGAGCAAGACAAATCTAGACTATTCTAGACTTTGAATGTAGCTCAAAAGCAATATTCTATATTCTATATATTCAATCATTTAAGGTAGGCAGGGTCGGTGATGATGAATTATTTGGGAAGCTTCGAATCAACGTCTCCCAATGTTTGAATGCTCAAGCCAAACTGGGGAGACGCCCCTTGAGGAGCAGTGTCGCTGCTGGTACCTCAAGCTAAACTTTTTCTTCCCGGTTTTTGCCGCCATGGAGAGCGCTGATGCCCAGGTCCGCCGCTCTGCTGAACAGCAGAAGCTGGAGCGGTGGTGCGCCTCGCATGGCATTGAGCGGCCATCCGATCTGGCGTTTTACTTCGTTTCCTACGAAGAAGCGCTGAAGCAAGGCCGCGCCGTGGCAGAGGCCTGGGACCAGGCACGCCGCGAGACGGAGGTCGGCATGGGGGCCCTGGTGCGGGATATTGTCCGTCGTGAACAAGTTTCGCAAGCTGCGCCGCGGCCTACCACATCTCCACCGTTGAGGCCACGACCTACCCCATCATTTGCGGGGCCAGTCAGGCCCAGCACCCAGGGCCGTCAGTCGGGCGGCCCTGACGGCGGTGCCCTGTCCTTTCTGCCCCAGTTGATGGCCATTCTGCTGGCGGTCGAGCCCCCGCCGGCGGCTCGCTTGGCTGAGATCACCGCCAACTTCGAGGCCAAGCTCACTCATGTGCTCCAGAAGGCTGAGGCCGCCACTGTGAAGCGGGCTTTGCACACGTGGCAAGAGCTTCAAGGGGCCATCGCGGCCGCAGGTGGAGGTATCCCGGACAAACACCTCCTGGCCACCTTCATTCGGGAGCACAAGTCACCTACAAGGGCATATACTGCCCTGGGATGGATCGTCCGCAACCTCAAGTTGCCATTCGACCTCTCCGAAGTGGTGAAACCTCGGGCTGGTTTGGGATCTCGCCTCGGCCAGGGGCAGGCACAGGCGGCGACTTTGGAGCCATCCATGGTCATCCACCTCCTGGGTACCTTGGAGTCCACCGTTGACAATCCTCACTGGCCCATGGTGTTTTGTGCCTACGCCCTATGTTTTGGTGTGGTCAGGTACACCCATTTACAACGGAGCTACTTGGTCGGCGGTAACGGGGGCATCCTCGTGTTCTGGTGCACGAAAGGTAAGACTGGCAGTCGTGGTGGCTTCACCTGGAGCGTTCCGAGGTATTGTGGCACATTGGATCTTCTACAAGTGCTGGGTGCCCATTTGAACAAAGTGCGCCCCAGAACAGGCGCCGGCTTCAGGCGCTGGCATTGGTTGGGGTTCGACTCAGCTACATCCCAGCCGGTGGGTACAGCGCAATGTGTCCGGATCCTACGACCATATCTGAGTGCGGCTATGGACGTTACCAGTCTCTCGTCCTACTCGTTCCGCCGAGTGCTTCCGACTTTGGCAGGGTATGTGGGGTTATCAGAGACAGAGCGACTTGCCCTTGGACAATGGGTGGATCAGTCCTCCAAGTCTACGGCGACCACCCCTCTGCGATATGACTCGCGGAAACAACGCCTGGGACATCAGTTACGCCTGGCCGGTTTGCACTTCTTCCAGGACCTCAACATGGCTTTGTGGGACGAACTGCCGACAGGCTATGCATCTGCACGATGGTCCACTTGCATGGAGGAGGCTGACGAGCTCCTTGCTTCGGACCCCCAGATCCGCCGGGTCTCTACGGACTGCATCCCTGGCATGCCTGTGGTCAAGACCTTGCTGCCGGCCCAGGTCCAGATCATCCGAGCTACTGGTCAACGCCTCACTGCAGCGCTCAGGCGGAAGCGCCCGGCCCATCCGCGGCTGCCGGCCCGGTGCCCGAGCCCACACAGGGGCCGAGGAACACGGTGTCAACATTCTCGTTCACCAGTCCTTCGCGGCCAGCGAAGCGGGCACGGGTGGAGCCGCCACCCAGGGCTGCTGCTGGAGGTAGCGCCCAACCGGTGACGCCGCCCAAGGCACCTCCGCCAAAGGTGCCACCTGTGCTGCCCGTGGTTTCGCCCTCATCAGCTTCGGCATCTATTCCACCTTTGCGGGCACCTCCACCTTTGCCATCGACTTCACCTCGGGCATCTTCATCTTCGGCAGCAGCAGGCCCTTCGAGCACGCCACCTTCGACCCCTAAAGTCAAGGCCATGCCCTCCGTGCTGCACCCGTCGCCGGAGCGGCCTCAGCACCTGCAGGAGGCGAATGACGCGGCCTTTGATGCAGCAGCACGGGACCGCTGGCGCCGGCCCGGGCACAGCGGTGCCCCAGAGCCTCCTACGCTCATCTTCCTGGGTGAAGCAGGCAACGGCTCTATCTATTTGGGCGGCCTGCCCACGGACCGGGCCTGGTTGGAGACCCACCACATCGGCATGAGCCTCAGCGCTATGGACAAGATTGCCGCCGACTGTCGGGGAGGGGTCAGCGCTCGCCAGGTCTACCAATTCAATGTTCCTGTTGGTCATCAAGGAGCCCTCCGTGACCGCCAGTTGAAATCGGTGCTGCCTATCTTCCTGGCAACTTTGTATTCTGGCTACTCCGTCCTGATTCATTGCATGGCGGGGGTGCACAGGGCCCCCGTGCTGGCTGGGTTGCTACTCGCATGGATCAGGCGGTGCTCCTTCGAGGAAGCGTATTCCCGGCTGGAGGGATTGCGGGCTATCGACCGAGCCGGTGTGCTCAACCGGCGGGGCGGCTCTGATATATTCAAGTGGGCACGGAGCCAGGTCAACATCACACCACCGTCCCTGCCGAGGTATCCGATTTCCTTCATTGCCTCCACCACACTGGCATGTGGAGCGGGACAATGCGCCCTGGTGTCGATGGCGCCAACGCAACGCTGCTTATCGAGGCGAAGTCCACCGAGCTTGCAGCATTCATGAGGCCTTGGCCTATGGGCGTGATTTCTGTATCACATGTAAAGCGGTGCTCCCTGGCAATGACCAGGTCCACCTGTGCTAATAACTGCAGTTCTTCGGAAACAGCACGCCTACCGGGTAGGCCGAGGGGGCGTCTCGTGTGCTATGCAAGTTGTGCATCATAGGGACTCGGCGGCCGGCCCGAGGAGTAGGTCCCTAGTTTGAACGTCGATCGAAATTTTATAGTCAGTTCTGTATGTTTGCTGCAGCTTCTTGTATCCCAGAGAACTCCGGACTACACGACCATACTCTGCGCCAATGGACCGGCCTCAGGCGATCCAGTTCGTTGCCGTGACACTTGCGCCCTTGGAGGGCGAGGCCAGACGGGCCCGTGCTTGGGAGGTGGGGGACCAAATGGACCAGGCCTGTCGGGCCTTGAGGGCCCTTCCCCCTACCTCCACCTCTTGTCTAGGGGTGGTACAGGTTCAGTTACGTGCTGCACGTAACCTATGTGAATCATGGATCGAATGGTGGGATGAGATCCAAGACCTGCCCAGGGAGGCAGCACGCCCAGAGCCTCGGCTGGAAGGGCTGTTGTGGCCGGCGGCCCCGAGACCTGGTACTTTGCCTCCCTACGCCCCATTGGTCCACACTACATGTGATGATTTGGCGCGTCACCATGACCGTCTTCATGAGGCCGATCGCGCTTCGTTCCGTCAATTGCTCTATACCGCCCACTACGAGGCCCACGCGGCAAGCGAGGCTATCAGTTGGCCAGCGCTGCAATGCCTGAGCTTGGAGCTCGGGGAGCTTGCGAAGCGGCTTCAGTAGTTATGCCATGAACGACTTTGAGTTTTTGAAAAAGGGTTGACACTGTACGGTGTTCCATTTGCTATCCGCTGTGAGTTGCTTACGTTGGCATGCCCTGTCCAATTGTAGCTTCCATGACTTTCCGCAGCCACCTTTGCTCTCCAGTGTTCGCTGCTCCCACCATCTCCTTTTGTGGATCATGGCCACCGTCCCTAAGCAGCTCGCTACTCCGGAGGATACCTTCACAGCTCTTGCGCTGCAGTTCAACTTTGAGCAGCGCATCAAAGACAAGATCATTGAGTTGGGGATTCGCACTATTGCAGAATTCCGCCACTATGCTCGCAGTGAGGATGAAATCAAGAAGCTCTTCATCGATACGATCAAGGATCCAGCGTATGAGGAGATGCAAGGGCGCCTCCAGGCTGCTAGGCTGCGCTTCGCTTGGACGGCGTGCAAAGCCTTGCTGGACTCTGAGCACGCAGCGGCCAGCCTGCCTCCAGCGCCAACGGAAGAAGAGACGCTGCTTCCCAAACAGGAGCTCGAACAGTTGAAAGAGGCTTTCTTTCGACGCTACCACTTGCGTCCAGAACCTCGCCAGTATCCTTCTGACCGGCTCCTGTCTAAGCTCAGCCGACAGCTGACACGGAGCCAGTTCGAGGTCATGGATTTGTGGACGGTCCGCTCACTACATCAAGGAGGACGGGGCAGGGTGAGGCTTCAGTCTGATGCATATCAATGGACTCCAACTCGGCCAAAAATGAACGGAAGTCATGAAAGACGGGAGTGTCCAAAGATTGGCCTCGCCCCCCCCCAACAGAGGAGCGGCCCTCTTTTCAAGCAGCCTTGGGGCATCCGGAAGGCGAGTGCTGGTACGATCCGCAGACCCGTCCTGATTGCAACACGACGCCGCAGCGATGTGCCCCACGTGGGCAGTTCTTCTTGGTGCGGCACTGGTTGCGCTGGTAGGCCTGACAAAGCTGCGTTCCATCACGAAGACTGGAGACCACCGACCCAACCGGCCCTGCGTCCGCAGGGGGGGCCTTGGCGGGCGAAGTGCCGCCAGCAGTGGTACCCGTGGTGATGCTGGGGGCTGGCAGGGCCCCGGCCAACCAAAGGGCGTCGCGCTCCCTCATGATGGCGTTGATGACATTGCCAAGTGTCGTGTGGCCCGTGCATCGGGCTGCCCACTGGCCGCGCTCCTCCACATCGAGGTGTTGGACCAACTGCAGGCGCCTCCCCTCCGAGGTGCGCAGAATCAAATCATGGCAGCGGCTGGCATAGGACAGCAGGACGTCGTAGGGAACCTGGACGTATTGCACACTGTCTGCACCGAGCGACTCAGGCGCAGACGGCGCCGGCTCCACGGGGCGACACCCCACAATAGCCAGGGCCAAGAAGTAGGTGTCCATCTTGGCCATGTAGGAGAGCCAGGACTTAGCGGTGATCTCGTCCTCATCATCCTCTTGGAGATACAGGTTGCCCGTCAGGCGTCGCCGTTTCTGGCTATGTGTGCGCTGAAAGGTGGTTCAGTGGCGTCCATGCACCGTTGTCCAAGGCCTTCTTGTGGTGCCAATGGGAGATCATCACCCCGATTGACATCGAGATCGACCAGGACCTGGACGTGTCGCGTCCGGCGGTCCGTCGGGCTATTCAGGCTGTACTTCCTCGGGTAGCCACTATTGCCGGGGCTATGAGTTGCGCTACCAAATCAAGAGCTAGGGAGAAACGGCCCGGCCCCCCTCCTCTACGATCTGAGGAATACCCACGGGGTCTACCAGGACTGGACGCAGGACAACAGGCACGGGTCGATGCTGACAACTACTCCAGTGATTACCTGTTGGCCTTACAATACTGGGGGCATCAACAGCATATCGCATGTCTTCGCGAGAACCCGCTCAGGTCTTTGCACTGGTGGGACCCGATCGAGCAGTACCTCTGCCAGGAGGACGATTGGCAGGATCTGGACTACGATGCATCCGTCTTCGGAGGCGCTCGGCGCAAAGCCCAAAAGTTCCGCCACAACATCCCTGAGTTAGCCTCCCTTCCGGCTGTTCGATGTGGACACATTCATGACCCCAACGAGTGGCGCTCGTCGGGTAATGGGCAGTTCTCCACCTTCAACGAAGCGGAGTACACACCTAGTTTGGTCTTCACCCTAGCGGTATGCTGCACGGCATGGGCTGTGCGACAGGGCTAATATCCTCGCCATCCCAAGATTACCGCCCATTACCACCTCAGGGGACGTACGACCACTGCTCCACTTCGAGCCGTCCGAGCTGCGAGAAGATCTGATGAATGTCATGGGTTTCCACCTGGGCCTTACACCACCACGAGAAGACTCGTCCCATGTGCCCACTCGCCAAGTCGCATTCGATGTGTTACAACTGAGGTCACAACTCACAGACACCGACGTGTACATCGGCCCCGGGCACTTCTCCCATCGTTGGCCACTGACACAATGGCAAAACCCCTTCCGGATAGGGGAAGGCAGGACTGCTATTGAGAGTGTCCTTCACTACGCCAGATGGATTGCCGACCAGGACCATCTGCTGGCTGACCTCACATCCCTACATGGCAAGACTCTGGTGTGCGACTGCCCACACAACGTACTCTGTCATGGGGATATTATTCGCGCTCTGGTTTGGACTACTTCACGTCATACTTCGACCTCAGGCCACGGCCACCCCGCCAGGGAGCAGTTGCGACGGGTTTCACTCATAGCTGCCGGCATTCGCCCGGGGTATTTGGTCCGGGGGCGAAGACCTACCCAACGCGTACCGCTATGTCCCCATGAAGCCAACACATAGCAACATGGCCGTGGTGGCTTACTACGACCACCACGTTGGTGGCCCCCGTTTTCGGCAATACTACGGTTCTCTGTTCGGGTTACCAAATGCTGTATGTTCGTTCAATCGATTTCCCCGCTTCTTTCAAGTTGCCTGCTGCCGCCTGGCCTATTGTATGACCAGTATGTACTTCGATGACTTGACAATCCAGGACTTTGGTATTATGGGCGGCACTGGCCAGGCCTTCGTCAATGAACTCGCACGATGCCTTGGCTCACCCTTCCAAACAGAGAAACATCAGTCCTTGGCGGCCCAGTCTGATTTTCTGGGGTTGATTCACGACGTGGCAGCCTGCCACCAGGGTGCTCCTGTCAAGTTCTGGGTCCGTGACCGGTTGCTCACCAAGGTCACCGACATTATGGAGGAGGCCACTCAGACACGTCGCCTCCCTCCGGGACTGGCGGCCAAGCTCTTTGGCTGCCTGGGTTTCTTGACGACGGGATGCTTCGGTAAGCTCGGCCGGTCGGGCCTCCACAGCATCAAGGAAAGACAATACTCCTCACAAGTCATGCTGACATCGGAGATTGAACAGTCCTTTGCTAGAATTCGAGCGCTACTTCAGTTGAAACCTGAGAGAGAATTACCGCTCAATCCAGTACGGCAACACCGTTACTTGGCGGCGTCCGATGCAGCGCAAGAGCGGCCCCGCGAGGGTTCTGCGGGAGTCTTGTTCATTGACCCCCGTGGCAACCGAAGGGCCTATGTCGTCCACATCAGCCCGAAGATCTTCACGGTGTGGTCCCATCATGAGGCCAAGATTGCACAGCTTGAGCTCCTGACAGTCTACATGGGCCTGGCGTATAATGCCTCATCAGTTCGCGGGATGCATGGTATATGGTTTGTTGACAACATCGCTGCCCTCATGGCTCTCATCCGAGGCCGCAGCAACAACGATGAGCTGGATTCTATGGCTGGGGCCATCCATGGCCTTCTGTTTGCACTCCGTAGTGCATGCTATTTTGAATGGGTCCAGAGCAAGGACAACTGGTCAGATGGCATCAGCAGACAGGGAGAACACGACCCATGGTTCCAACAACATGACTTTCGTCTCTTCCACACCTACCCCCTGCTCATGCTCCTCCAGCTGCCCTACCACCTCATCGCTCAGGTCTTTCAGTTCGTTTGAGTGCTTTGGAGATGTCAGTGCCTTGGATGGAGTGCTCCCACAGGGAGAGTGTCAGATGTCAGATGACACAAGCGACGTGGGTCGCATTTCAAACCAAAGCACTTCAGTACAGACAGTACAGACTTGAATCGATTCGCGGAAAAGGGTAGCTGCAGTCGCCACATGTTGAACGAGATTCATCGAATATATTCAATCATTTAAGGTAG